GAGTGTATACTGAGAAGTCTGAACATCATTTACTGATATTGTCGCTTTTATAACCTTTAATAAACACGCATCTTGAACGGATAAAAATGTATACCACTTAGCGCCTCTAGTGGACGTTACACCCGAAAAGTGCAGGGAAACGTACCTGGAGGTACGTATTTCAGGTTTTGCAAAAATGTAGGCAGAGTAACGTATTTCCAATGAGCCTGGGTTGGGAATAAAAGCTGTCAGAATCCAGATGAAGCCGCTGAAGAGATTCATGGTGTGTGTTGGGTTTGTACCGTGGTAAACAGCCGTGTGTTATAAAGTGTGTGAGTCTGAAGGCTATAAACACTCGGAGAGCTGAAACACGTGCCGATGCAAAGTGACTCTCTGAGCAAAAACCAGCTGGAGGAAAACACACATGAACATGAACATGCAGACGAAACTGATCCAGTTTATGCCTTTAATGTGTTTTATTCTCATCATCAATGAGTGTGTTTTCACTTCTTTACAAGTTTAGAAATCATTTCTTCTTGATTCTGCATGAGTCTCTGGTTCAGAGTTCAGACTTTCTGATGAATCCAGTGTCAGAGTTTCATCACTAAAAGAAACGAGTATTTCACTGTGAACTCCATGAGAGGTCAAAGGTCATTCCAGAGGTCACAGGTCATCAAAACTTATTCAAATACTTTGAGAAACACACGATCATTTAGAAACTCTCAGTTAATGTGTGTAATGATCAGAGTCTTTCTGATTATATTATTTATTTAGATTTAATGGTTTTCATGCATTAAGAGACATTTAGAGACGATGAGGCTGTTTCTGTGAACGTCACTTCAGTTCAATAATCATAATGTTGAGTCTCATATCAGTGTGTGTGTGTGTGTGTGTGTGTGTGTGTGTGTGTGTGTGTGTGTGTGTGTGTGTGTGTGTGTGTGTGTGTGTGTGTGTGTGTGTGTGTTGTTCGTCTCTTTCTCTGCTGGAGTGTGTGTTCATTTGAGTGTGACGGAGGTTTTTGTACGACGCTTCCACTAGAATGAAACACTGTGGCTCACTTTCGGTGGAGGAACTGAACTGACGATCAGAACCTGTGAGTCTTTCTTAAATTATTTAATGAAACTTAATGATGTGTGTGTTTTAACAGTTATTTAACAGCATTTGGCAACAATATTCTCAATTTATTATAAAACCATATTATTGAAAAGCTTTACCATTTCAAATCTCATTTTTGTCAAAATTTTCTTCAGAAAACTTATTTATATTTATGCATACATCTTAAACTTGATACATTATAAAAAATCTGTAACTTTTACAGTAAGAAAAAGGCAGCTTTGTTTGCCAGACCTGTTATATTTACTGTAAAATTACATGAAATGTCCGATTAAATCTATTACAGTTTTCACTGTATACAGCAAAGGAACAAACAGTTTACCAATTAATCGTTTTTACCGTAGAATATTTAGTATTTAATTTGTAAAATTATGATATTTTTTTACAGTGTACATTTAGTAATAGTCAATATTGATTAAATGGAGAATATTTTGAAACTAAACTCAGGATAGTGTCTATGAATGAAAGCAGTGCGGTGAAACTACAGTAAAGATGAAATGATTGTGCTTTTTACTGCATTACCATCAGCCAAAGAGAAAATTTGTTAATGAGCATTTTAAAGATCAATCATTTAAATTATTGTGTTGATTATGCTGATGATTATGATTGTGTCTCAACGGAAGAATAAAAAAAGTTATTGAAAATCAGCTAAAAATTACGATTGATTGTGAGTAAAATTTGTTTCTTCTGAAAATAGAAGAATATTTTTAAAAATACACTTAATGCTGAAAATATAATTTTTGTATTATTTGTTTTCTAAATCTTATAAATAAATCACAATGTATTAATCAATTTTCATGTGGACAATGTTTTTAAAAATTAGATTGATATTAAAATGTTCTGTAACTTAATTCTGAGAAAATTCAAATGAGTATATTCTTTTAGTTTATTTAATGATTTATTTAAATTTTATAATTCATATAAATGTTTTTAAATATAATTTTTCATTTTATATTAACAATTTTACATTACAATATTGCTAACATTTAGTTCATTTCATGTATTGACTGCAGATACTTTAAAATCTATTCAATTATTTCTTCAAAGTTTTGTCTATAATTCTTGGTAAATGTAACTATTTAGGGCTTTTTTAAACGCATGAAACAAAAGTTGTATAATGCAGACAAAATAAATATAATTTTTATAATTTTCATCAGGCAAAAAGAAACTTAGTTGAAGAGCATTTTGAAAATTAATAATTTAAACGATTTAAATATTAAAAATTGCTGACATTTGTTTGAGTGTCTGAATAGCAGAATTTTCTATTCTATTTCCATTTTCAAAATACAAATTAATATTGAAATGATCATTTAAATATGTTATAACGACATCACAATATAATCATCAATTTACTCTGAAAATGTTTTTCAAACTCATTCTGGGGATCATTTAAAATGTAAGTTGTATATTTAAAGTGAAATGATGGTGATTCTCTGGTGTGTGTGTGTGTGTGTGTGTGTGTTTCAGCCGGGCCCTCCGTGTCTCCCTCCGTGTCTCTGCTGGTCTCTGGAGACTCCTCCGCTCTGCTCTGCCTGCTCAGCTCTTACTCTCCACAGGGGGCGACGGTGAGCTGGACGCTGGACGGGTCAGAGGTCACCGAGGGGGTTCAGACCAGCGCAGAGAGCGAGCGGGGCGGTCTCTACAGTCGCAGCAGCGTCCTGAGCCTCAGCAAAGCACGCTGGGAAGGCAGAGAGCGCTTGGTCTGCAGAGGAACACATGCCGGAGCTGCTCACGAGGCCTCGTTCCTCAAGAGCTCCGAGTGCTGATGTTTCTCCAGTGAAGACCAGCGTATCAGAGCGGCACGTGATTTACAGCTCAATACTGAAGCAGTCTGTCAATGTGCTGCCATTGCTGTTCATTCAATAAAGCTTCATCTGAACGCAAGCTTACATGTGTGTGTGACTGCATCATTGATCAGTGTGTCGTTCCTTCAAAGTCCTGCACTAAAGTTTCAGCTGCTTTTGATTGATTGTAATAGTTGAGAACAGCTGCATTCAGCAGTAAATGTCAAATGAAGCTCTTGGGGTTTGAACATGGTCACTGGAGACGAGCTGCTCTATTCTGAGACCGTCACAATCACTAAACCTGACAATGCAAATGAGATTTTCAACTGAAACTCACAGTTTCACTCTTTTACTGGTTCAACGCTCTGAACTAGAACAGTTTCACTTCTGCTTATGGATTCATTAGTCAGTTTGTTAATAAGATTTCTTCATCTTTATGAGTTACATGTTGGTTCATCACAACACACACTATATTCACACATGTGTATAAACAAACTGTTATGTTTAATATAAAAAACGAACTATTTCCACTGTACAAAATTGTGTACACAAAAAAACATCAAATGTTTAGATGGTTGAAATGTTGATATTTATCCAATGTTTGAAAAAGCTGTCATATACAGCACTGTTAAATTACACAATACATCTACATTTTGGGCGGACTACTGGTGGTAATCTGGTCTTTAATTTTAAAATGAATTTTAAAATTCTATGTAAAGATATTAATTTAAATGATATAAATTTTCATCTGCTCTGAAATTGAGAGTTGTGTTTTATGATTTTGTTAATGATGAACTTAAAAAAATCGACAGACTTATTAAACTGATCAAGCAGAACATCTTTATGATGCTAGTGATTCAGTTTAGACAGAAGAATGAGGATAAATCATAAATGCAGAAAAACAAAAATATGGTGAAAGATTGAAAAATATCCACTAAGTGACGATCAAATGCACTCAAAAAAAATGAACTAGGAAGGTTGTGCACTTTACATAATATATTTATATTTAGTTTACTTATAATAATTGTGTTTTTTGACTTGAAATGTTTTTTTCTAGTAAGGTCCACGTAATTATGTCTCAACTTAACAGTACAAAATCCTATTGCGTTGCCTAAACACAAACCATTTATGTTAAGTGAAAAATTCTTGCATCCAGATGGTGGCAGTATAGTGCGAGCCAACTGCCATTTTGCCCGAACTTAATTTGATTGTGTTCAATCTGCTTAAATATATGTAACATTTAAGTTTACTTAATCCACTTGTGTTGGATTACATGATTGATTTGTGTTGCATTAACTAAAACTGGGCGGTGCTTGTTAGTACCCAGCATGCTTTGCATATGGTTGAATTAAGAGAGAATAAATGTTAAAATTAAGTGTTATTTGATGTTTTTTTGAGAAAATGATAAAAGGGGAAGACTTGATAGTGTGTAATTGTGTTTAATGTTCAATTACATTTGAATTATTAGCACCATTTAAATTACAGTGGGTTACCATTGTGGAGAAGAGTGGAGCATTTTGTTTGGCTGTGGACTGATTTATTTATTTCAACTGTTTGATTGACTGAGCATGTTAATCTTAGCATTTAAGATGCTAATATGTGCTACTGCTAGCAAATAGCTAGCTATAGTCTAACAATTTAATTATGTGTTACTAAATTAAATGAAATATTAATGAATGAATGAATATAAAAAATACCCGAATCATGTCAGGAAGCCTTTAAAAAATCACTTTGAGACTACTTTAATAGGGTTGCTTAAAATGACATAATTCCATGATGTTGAAGTTACATGAACAAATTATGTTGAAGTTAAATGAACAAATTATGTTGAAGTTACATAACAAATTATGTTTGTTTAACATAACCTAGTTATGTGGAACCTGTTGACGAAATAAAATTAAGTAAAGCAAACATATCATTTTTTTGAGTGTGTGTCTGAATTTCCTCACAAAGGACTGAAAATAACAGGAGAAAAATGACTTCTGAAAAATCATGATCAAAACTGTCATATACTGACGAAGCTCAAACTTTTATATTATTATAATATATTATTATTATTATTATTATATTATTGCTTATTATAAGATCATATTGCTTTTCTTAGTGTGATTGTGTGTGTGTGTGTGTGTGTGTGTGTGTGTGTGTGTGTGTGTGTGTGTGTGTGTGTGTGTGTGTGTGTGTGTGTGTGTGTGTGTGTGTGTGTGTGTGTTTGAGCAGCTGCAGTTTCAGTTCAGTCACTGTGACTCTGACTGACGGAGGTTTTTGTACGACTCTTTATCACTGTGTGAACACATCACCACTGTGATGACTCTGACAGTAATAATGTCCAGCATCTTCAGTCTGGACTCCACTGATGCTCAGAGTGAAATCACTGTTAGATCCACTGCCACTGAATCTAGATGGAGTTCCTGACTGGAGGCGGTTGGCCCAATAAATCAGGAGTTTAGGAGCTTCTCCAGGTTTCTGTAAGTACCAGGCTAAGATATCAACAGAACCACTCCTGTACACATTACTGCTGGTTTTACATTTGATATTCACAGTTCCTCCTGGTTGTTCTGCTGTTATTGAGGGACTCTGAGTGACGGTGATCTGTCCTCTACACTCTGAAACACAACAAGAAGAAAACCACCAGAATAAATGAATGATCTTTGCTAAAACAAGTCAATGTAAAGTAGTAAATGCAGTGAAAGTGTGTGTCACCGTTGAGGAGCAGCAGCAGAGAGCAGAAGATCAGTGTGTGTGTCGTCATCTTAACTGGGAATGAGTGAAACTGAAGGACAGAGATGTGGGATTCACAGTCGGACAGACGCTCTGATATTGAGCTTCAGTCACAGGGGAGGGACACACACATTCAAAGCCGTTTCCTCTCTAATGTGTGTCAGCCACTGACAGAAGAGCAGAACTGAGACATATCACAATTAAAACCTTCATTTCCCCTCATCAAACACTCAACTGATATTAGTTTGCATCATTGTTATTCACGTTCAGCAATGGCACAGAAATGGATCGATGTTGGGAGAAAGTAAACATGAGGATGAGGAATCGAAGGATGTTTTATTTGTATATTATAATCTTCTTAATCACTCGATCGTCCCTTTAAAGCGTCATCAGCTGGGTCATTCTACAGAAACGTCCACTTTTGGTATGGCAAGATGTCTTAAAATGTATTTCTTTTTCTAACATTTAAACTTACACCACATTATTAGATTACCCTACTGGTGTTACCTAACTTATTTGGCAATATTAAATGTTTTTATGAAATATTATTTAAAAAAAATTTCAGCACATGTAGTCAGAGTTACCAAAAAAATAATAATAATGCAACAAATAAGGAGATTATGTTTTATTTATTTTAATCAGGTTTGTTAAAAGTGTGCTTGAATGAGGTTAGTTCATTTGCGCAACCTTGTATTTGCAATAACAATGAAAATATTTGAAAACCAGTTAAAATCAAGTAATGATGCAATCCTTTAAATCTTAACTTATGAGTGTAGCAGAATTAAATGGATGTAAAATTATTATCATGTCACATATGGCATTGTATTTAATGTGACAGAAAAAAAAAACGGTAACACCAGTGACACAATGAATCACCAATGACATGCATAAGACCAAATATTATTATTCTTCCACTATAATTAAGTAGATGAGACTAAATTGTTACATTTGGCATATAATCTAAATGAATAGCTTTGAGTAAAGTATCTATACATGGGAGTCACTGGTGTTACTGGTGTTACCCATAAGAAAGGTGACACCAGTGACAGTAACACCAGTGACAATTTTCATGAAAAATTCATTTTACAAAATGGCAGCTGCAAGGTATCAAACCACATGTGGTACATCATGATATACTAACTAAATTAAGTAGTTTAATCCATTTGTATTCTCATTTTTTTTTACAATAACCTAACAATAAATTAGGTCAAACCATGCAGTGACTTCAACTAAAAGCTTCATATGAAATCATGAGATAAATGAGAATATTTCTGATAACTGAAAAGACACAGAGGATTTATTATGGGCTTTTCTTCATAGAAATTCAGGAAATTGGAAGAATGAAGTCAAGTGATGTCATCAGTGGGATTTTTATTTCAAAATAAGAGATTTTTGTTTAACGGTAACACCAGTGACACAACTCCAGGGGACCACTACTTTCATTATACATTTTATAATATTTATTCTGAATTTCGTTTTTTTATGTCATTTACATAATATATTAGATAGTTATGTATACATTATTGTATTTTAAATGGTGTAAAAACCTGTTATTGACCTCAAAATAAAGCATTTTCCCTACATGACTGTGGGGACGAGCACTTCTGTGGTGTTTGGATTTCTATATAATTAATACAAAATAAAATATTGCCACTTGATGGCTCAAGAAGGTGTAATTGTTCAAATAACATATTGTTTTATTTTAAAATGTAAAGAAATTGTGATTCTAAAGTGTTTTTTTAAGTGTAATATTTCTGTTAAGGCTAGGGACAGAAAAATGGACATTTCCGTAGAATGACCCAGCTGCGCTCAAGGAATTTGTCCTCATGTTTTTAAATTTGGTTAAGAAATTCATAATAAATAACAATAAAGCAAGATGTCCTGTTGAAAAATGTGAGATGTATGATTGATTTAAACTGCAAAGGAAAAACATAAATGAAATGATTGTGACAGATGTGAAGGGGAGAATTCATACGCATGTCAGTTTCTTCTTCTTCCGCATGATACACCTGTGCATCCTTCATGTGTCTGAATCTCTTTTAATTATGAAAATTGAGCTGCATATGAGTGACAGAGGCATTATGACGAACTCCGCATTGGCAGAGGTCAGAGGTCATCTCAGAGGTCAGAGGTCAAGTTGAAGTTGTAACAGAGCTTGAAGGCTCTGAAAACACAATTTTACACCATAAATTAACATTTAGTAATTCTCCAAGAACACTAGCATCACACCTCCGTTTTAGATACATATTTCTGTGCCTTTATTGCTTCATGATTTGACTTTTTCACTATGAAAATGAAAGTCTATTATTAATATAAGGCGGTAATGGACAAACTGAAATCACTCGATCTCAATCATGTCACTGATATATAAAAGCACAAAATCTCACAGCTGAGCAGATCCAGATTACAACACATTTATATTCTCCAGAAAGTAGGAATATGAGAACAAACACAAAACCCTGCAGAACAAACTAAACAATTTAGTGTGAAAGAAGGAAAAGACACAGATAATAATAAAAATAAATAAAACCGATTCTGATAGAGACTCTGACAGAGACATTGATGGAGTTTTTAGTTGTTTCTCTCAAGTAAGTCTTTGACTTCTGACCTGTAGAATTATTCATTATTAGTGTCAGATTAATTTATGTTTTTATTTCAGATGCAAGTGTGACGATGTTATTTGAGATCCTCCTTTGAGCAGCTGCAGTTTCAGTTCAGTCACTGTGACTCTGACTGACCGAGGTTTTTGTACGACTCTTTATCACTGTGTGAACACATCACCACTGTGATAACTCTGACAGTAATAATGTCCAGCATCTTCAGTCTGGACTCCACTGATGCTCAGAGTGAAATCACTGTTAGATCCACTGCCACTGAATCTAGATGGAGTTCCTGACTGGAGGCGGTTTGCGTAATAAATCAGGAGTTTAGGAGCTTCTCCAGGTTTCTGTAAGTACCAGGATAAACAAGGATCCCGACCACTCATGTACACATCACTGCTGGTTTTACAGTTGATATTCACAGTTCCTCCTGGTTGTTCTGCTGTTATTGAGGGACTCTGAGTGACGGTGATCTGTCCTCTACACTCTGAAACACACAACAAGAAGAAAATACACTCAAAACTTTGACAATATACTTGAAGAAATGAATTAATATCAAACTTGTGCTCCACAAACCTTGAGCAAACGCTGTGAGAGTCCAGATGAAGATGATGATGAAGGTCATGTTGATGAAGATTGTTGTGTGTGTCAGTGATGAAGTGTTAAACTCACAGCACTATAAACACTCTCACACACTGAACATCTGATCAATATGCAAACACACTCCACATCATTTCCCTGAAGACAGTCACTCATTAACACACAAAACACAATCACTGAAGTGAGAACAGAGTAAATATCAGTATTTTTTCAATCTTCTAATAGCCAAACTGTTAAAAATTATATAATTCAATTCAGTTCTGAATACATCAAGACCAACTTTAGTATATTAACCTTAATATCTGCTATCTTTACTGTAGTTGGATTGAAACGTCGCTGTTAATCCCCAAATTTGACACCAAATCCATGTGTGTTCCTGCAGTTTATGAACAGACATGAGGATCATCACACACTTTGCTTAATGGATGTGCACTTTTCCCCAGAGTCCTTCATCCAAACCTCCTGTTCCTCGACAAGTTGTGAACTCCCTGTATCTATATATCAATGCAAACTCCTATTGTAAGTTCATTCCCCACATTGGGGATGTTTTGTCTTGGTCTGATTATTTAAGGAAAATGCCTTAAGAGGCTCGGGGGATTCTGTAAGATCGGTCTGTGATGTTGAACGGCCTCGAGACACTCAGAATCATGTATTCTTCTGATGTTAGCCTATGGCTCTTTTACTCTTTATCGCTGAGCATTTGATGTTTTGTACTGATTATATTTGGATTGATTATGTATTTGTCATGATGCATTTACCTGACTAATAATCAATTGTTTGTTACATTTGGATTTATTCTGACTTACTATGTGGAGCAGAGGAGCACGCCGACTGAAGTTTCAGAGATACGAATAACACATCGGCATTAGTCACTTATAATACTTATAATAATGGGTTTTCCGTTTAAAACAACAGTGTTGTTAGACCAAACAGGGTGAGCCTCAACCTCTTAGCATTGTATAGTATTATTCTAATGAAGTGTACGTGGGAAACCACAGCATAATTAGACAAAGTTACCATTAGAAGTAGTTACAGTTTTTTTCAATTGCTTACACACTAAAATTAAAACTTTCCCACTATTAGCAAAACCTTACACTCAAGGAGCAAAACACCAGCCTAGATTTGCACAATTGTAAGCACGTTGTCAGCTTCACCCTTTTTGCAAAACATTACACACAGTAATTTGTAAAACTCTACACACATTTTCACACCTTAGACACAGTTAAGGATTGTGAGGTTACTTCCTTGTCATTACAAAGCCCCGGTTTGCCATTGACCACACTAATGAATGAATTGGATATGCACATCCACCAGGTGTGGAAGCACACCTGTGCTAATTTGAAAACGCAGCACTCAGGTGTGCTATAAAAGGCAGCAGGTTTCAGTTCACATGTCTTCAACAAAAATGGAAGGAGCTAGAAGAAGAAGAAGAAAAAGAGTGAGAATAAGAGGGGGAGCTCAAAGAGGAGATGAAGGAGGTAGAGGAAGAGGAGAAGAAGGTAGAGGAAGAGGAGAAGGAGGTAGAGGAAGAGGAGAAGGAGGTAGAGGAAGAGGTGAAGGAGGTAGAGGAGGAGGAGAAGGAGGTAGAGGAGGAGGCCCAGGTAGAGGAAGAGGAGAAGAAGGAGATAGAGGAAGAGGCCTAGGTAGAGGAGAAGAGGTAGAGAAGGACTTGAAGAGTTGATAGAACCTGAACAAAGAAGACGAGGACCAAATTTGACTCAAGAAATCCGTGCAACACTTATTGACCATGTTATCAACCATGGACTGACACTGATGGAAGCTGGACAAAGAGATCAACCAAATCTCTGGTTGATACTGTAACTGAATAGTTACAGTATTCTTGTTGCTTTTACAGTAGTTTTTCTTCAGAGTCAAACTGTATGTACTTCATGCAGTAATTTTTATTTGTCTACAGATTTTATTTTTTTCATTGATTTCTTTGTTGGTTGATTACTGTAACTGATTATGGTAAGAAATACTGTAAATAAATACTTGAAATATGAGTCTGTAGAAATCAGTGTTGTGCAGTGCTTGGCAAGTTTATAGTAGGCCTATTTGTGTACATTCTCCCTATATCTCAAACTAATCATGAAGAATGTTGTGGGTTTGTCACTATTTTTTTTTTCATCTAAATTATCCCTTACATACACAATGTCTGGCCAAAAATCTAGCACATGCTATTTCCTAAAAATTGTTTTTTTTACAAATGTGTTTTTTATTTATCACAGCCGTGTGAAACTGGCTGCAATAGTGTCTGGTCATTGAGGACTGTGTTGGTTAAATGAAAACTAATAGCATTTTCACAAATATGTGTATATCTTTTGACTGAAGTGTGTATGTTTTGACAGAAGTGTGTCAATTTGCAAACAATCTAGGAATTATGCAAATTGAGTGTGGTGTTTGGATAATTGTGATTATATTTTGAAAAAAAGAACCCGGTTTTCAAAATTGCGTGTAAACAATTGAAAAAAACTGTAAGTTGGTCAGTTTAGTTCTGTGGTATCTAATGGTCGTGGCCTCTGGTTATATATAATCTTAAGTTTATTAAGTGTGTTCAGATCTATGGGGACTAAATAACTGATTAAACTGATCAATCAGGACATATTTTAGATGATGGTGATTCAGTTGAGAAAGAAGAATATACAAAATCATAAATGCAGAAAATCTAAAAGCAAAATGTGGTGAAGGATTGAAGAATATCCACTGAAGTGAAAATCAAAAGTGACTGAATTTCTACATGAAGGATGTAATAGAAACATGAGACAAATATGACTTCTGAAATATCACAATCAAAAAGTCAAAAACTGATGAAGCTCAAGAAAGTGATGTTCAATAAGATCATATTGAGTCGTTTGTGTGTGTGTGTGTGTGTGGGCGCGCGCGTCTGTGTGTGTGTGTGTGTGTGTGTGTGTGTGTGTGTGTGTGTGTGTGTGTGTGTGTGTGTGTGTGTGTGTGTGTGTGTGTGTGTGTGTGTGTGTGTGTGTGTGTGTGTGTGTGTGTGTGTGTGTGTGTGTGTGTGTGTGTGTGTGTGTGTGTGTGTGTGTGTGTGTGTGTGTGTGTGTGTGTGTGTGTGTGTGTGTGTGTGTGTGTGTGTGTGTGTGTGTGTGTGTGTGTGTGAGAAAGTGTTTGAGCAGCTGCAGTTTCAGTTCAGTCACTGTGACTCTGACTGACGGAGGTTTTTGTACGACTCTTTATCACTGTGTGAACACATCACCACTGTGATAACTCTGACAGTAATAATGTCCAGCATCTTCAGTCTGGACTCCACTGATGCTCAGAGTGAAATCACTGTTAGATCCACTGCCACTGAATCTAGATGGAGTTCCTGACTGACGGGTGTTAGTATAATAAATCAGGAGTTTAGGAGCTTCTCCAGGTTTCTGTAAGTACCAGGACACACAGGGTGCTGAGCTGCAGGCTGGCGCATCTCTACTGAGTTTACAGCTCATCTCTACAGTTTCTCCTGGTTTGGCAGGATTTACAGGAGTCTGAGTCACTGTGATCTGAGCTCTACATCCTGAAAAACAATTCATTTATCAGTCCATAAAGTTTATTAATTTATTAGTCAGTTTAAAGCTGTGTTAAAATCATATTATTTAAAAGATTTATTTAGAATATAAACTGTTCACCTTGTATAAAGCAGTATAAAAGTGTCCAGATGAAGATGATGATGAAGGTCATGTTGATGAAGATTGTTGTGTGTGTCAGTGATGAAGTGTTAAACTCACAGCACTATAAACACTCTCACACACTGAAGATCTGATCAATATGCAAACACACTCCACATCATTTCCCTGAAGACAGTCACTCAGTAACAGACACAAAACACAATCACTGAAGTGAGAACAGAGTCAAAATTAACGTTTTTCATAATATTGTATCTTCTACAATAGTCAAAATGTTAAAGATTATATCATTCAATTCAGTTATGATTACATCAACAAGACCAACTTCAGTATATTAATCTGAATATCTGAATATGAGCAGATCCGGATCCAGACTCAAATCACAGAAGGTTTATAGTAAAGTGACATCACAGCCTCATTTTCATTCCTGTCTAAAAAAAAATGGCGCTACCCTGAGAAGTTCGTACTTATGAGGTGGGAAGTCGTGTTTATGACGGCAGGAGCGTTCAAGTCATTTTTGTCGGAGTAAGATGGCGGTTACTTTCTCTTAATTACACAAAAATACAGCAAGCTTCTACTCTAGTTCTACCAGAAAGACTCAGGAGAATAAATACTGTAACAATAAATACATTTATTGATAGCCCAGCAAGCAATAAAGTTCTTTGGCGTAGGCCCCGTCCATAGCTCGCAATCCGAGGGTCCGGACTCTGCATTTCCTGCCTGAAGACGAAGGCAGGGGCGCAGCCGACCCCCTGTGAGGTATAGGAAGGGACCATCCTGGTGGTGGTGGGGAGGATGGAGGGGAAGGGACCATCCTGGTGGTGGTGGGGAGGATGGAGGTGAATGAAAGCGTCAGCATCTGCGAACTCAGACATGTGTAAGTACTGGTCTTTTATACCGCAAGTATTAGACACGATTGGATAGATGAGAAGGTAATAAGTGACGTAGCAATTGAGTCTTCCCGGCAGAACTTAACGCTAAAGCTTCCATTTCTAGAAAATGAAGAACAAAGAAATGCATCAGGTGTGCTTTGGTTTTTTATGTTTTTAATCAATTTATGAAGCCACTGCAAACTTTATCTTACATATTACTATAATGGCATCATATTCTGTGCAGGTTTAGCTTACTTCGCTGTAAATAGAAAAGCCTGACAATATCACTGCTAAATACCTTTCCATATTGTGGTATTCCACCATGTTTCTCACTGACTCGCCCACAAATCGTAAAGATCGAGAAATCCCGAGCTTCCCACTGGTATTTAGGCTACGACATTGTGGTGGCGTTTATGTGCGTTCAACTGGTAAATACGATCTATACGAGATGACTTGAACACATAAGGTCTGTAGAGCCTCTTTTCAGCCTTCTGTTTTGTATTTCACTGCATGAAGGAAAGATCTTACGGATTTATGAATGATCCGCTCGATTTAAAATCTTCCCGGTCAACTGACATGTTGTTATGATATCTGCTTTAAACATTACAATGCTCATGATCAGGGGCGTAGCAGCCATTATAAAAGTGGGGGGGACAAAATGGTGTGGTGATGTGACCCAAAGGTCAGTCCTTCCAGAAAAATACGGAGTTTTTTTGTGATTGTTGCGGGCAAAAATCCTTGATTATGCGGCGATGGAATATGCAGGATATTTGCAATTTTATGTGATGAAATTGCGGGAACTTGCAAAAACTGCGGTTTGATGAAAAAGAGAGAAAAAGTGATTCCCCAACACCCTGTTCTCACTAGGCTACTACTAATGTAAAGAGCAAATTCTTATTACTTCCTATGATAAGCAAACATACTACATCACAGAAAGTGCTGGAATATTTAATCTTGTTTTATTTCAGACCTTAATAAACGCATGGCTCAAACTTACAAAACATTGATGAGTCAAACAAGTTCTATAGCTTTACAAAAGGAATATGCTTCAACTTCTGTAAAAATTAATAAATAAAATATGAAAAAAATGTTTTCTGTTTTACAGCTTTTTTTCATTTTTTTTTTTCAATGATGTTCATGTCGAGTAATTATGTCACTTCATAACGTTCCCATGGCAACCGGGGGAAACGGCTGCTCTCGTGAAGCAAACGCAACATTTTTCAACTTTCTGCTAAGATATATGTGACTTTTTTTTGCAACAAAAATGCGGGGATTATGAAATCATACAAGCCCCGCATATTTTGCGTGGAAAACGGCAATTTATATGGCAAAAGTGCGGCGTGTTTGAAAAAATGCCCGCGCATAAATATGCGGACTTTGGCTGATTATTGAATCATGCGATCGCATAATCGCGTTTTTCTGGAGGGACTGAAAGGTGATGTTCATAATAATAAATTCTAGATGGAATAGCAATTGGCATTTTACAGCACCCTAGTGCCAATTTTGGGAACATGCCATGATAGTTTACAGCAACCTATTTTTGTGAAATCATACTCGAAATAAAAAAATATTGCAGGACTTGGGACTTTCAGACAACTGTGGACATATATACTTTATTTTTATGAAATAAAGATATTTTATGATATTTACAATATTTCAGTTAAACTACACTTGAACAATAACTTTTATCTTAGGCCTACTTCTTAACAGTTGGACCAAAAAAAAAGTGTTCAATGAGTACAGAACAGATTACATCTAGCCTACAGTAATTTTATACAACAGACATTTTATAAAAATATATCAATAAAACCTAAATCAATGTATTCGGTATTGGACATCAATTAACATTGACATGTTGAATTTACATTGAATTTTGGTCACCCGACGTCGCAACCAAAATTTAACCAAATATCAACGTCTTATGACGTTGTGTGCCTGCTGGGAATAATCTGTTAGGTCTCATTTAACAGACGCTTTTATCCAAAGCAACAAGTAGGAGAGCATTTAACACACACTCGGCACAATCCGGCGCGACGTGACGAGGTCCATACGGGTTCTGTTGTCTTACAGCGTTACAGTAGGTTAAATCATAACAAGGAAACTTTACGTGTGATTCATGTCATCGCGACATACTGTAACAGTGTGTGTTTGAAAAAAATGATGTAGTCCTCTGCTTTTTTTCTGGGGTGCATTAGACGGCCAAACAGCAAAGCGACTAAACAAACACGAAAATTCGCAAGAGCAACAAAAGATTTGAAGCTCATGGCAGACGCGCCCAATAGATGCTTCGCGCTGTGATTGGCTGAATGTTAGCTCACTCAAGTCTAAGTAACAAATCAGAGAACACGGGCGGAAATATTGGCGCTGAGTAAAAAAAACGTGTCCCCCCCGGTTGCTACGCCCCTGCTCATGATAACTTTAATTAACTCTACAATAAGTAAATCCACTTTAGCTAAATACTCTTAAACAGCGATGCCATAGAAATGTACAGAGCTACTAGCGCAAAAACAGACATTCAAGGACTAAACTCTAAAGATGGCTGTGAGCTTGTTTCTCTGGTGCATTAGAGGAGGTTCTGAAGAGTCTTAAAGGGATATTTCACATAATAATGAAAACCTATTATAATTTACTCTCTCTCATATGCATGTTCCAGTGATTTATGATTTTCATTTCTTCTGCATAAAGTTGAAAAATGTCTATTCACATCCATTGTGAATACGTGGTGCACATGAGACCAATGGCCAACAGGGGGCAGCTAGAGACAATCCATCAGTAACAGAAGGTAAAGGTTCATAAGTCACTTATGTGTAAAACAAAGACAAGCTCTGCTCGAAATAGTTTGTTGGTTAGAATAAGCTTTATGTGAGTAAAATATAGGCTAATTTTTTTAAATGGCAGATGACTGTAAAAGTATTGGAAATTCATTGATCAAACGATGTAGAGGACTGACTGAATACTGTGAAGTGAACCAGAAAGTATAGGCTATGCAAACGGTAATGCAACGCTTTTGTTTTCACACAAACTCATTTGTAATCTTATTAAAATAAGTCATTGAAAACATTTTGAAAGACATTTGATTGTTCACTTGAGCTTTCTCAATCTCTGTTTGTCTGATATGTGGTACTGTGAAAGTAATGAGAAGATAAAAAACAAAACTTTGATCATATGCCAAATACGGAAATCATAATGTGGGCAAAGGTAAATTATTAGAAACAGAAATGAGTCCATCAGGTCCATTTTGTCTGGTTTCAGATGTGTTAGTTCTGCTGACTGATGAAAGTTTATAAGAGAGAGAAAAAATTTATTGAAGAATGTTTAGATATGTGTATTTGAAAACGTGTGTGTGTGTGTGTGTGTGTGTGTGTGTGTGTGTGTGTGTGTGTGTGTGTGTGTGTGTGTGTGTGTGTGAAAGTGTTTGAGCAGCTGCAGTTTCAGTTCAGTCACTGTGACTCTGACTGACGGAGGTTTTTGTACGACTCTTTATCACTGTGTGAACACATGTTTACTGTTGATGTAGTGATAACTCTGACAGTAATAATGTCCAGCATCTTCAGTCTGGACTCCACTGATGCTCAGAGTGAAATCACTGTTAGATCCACTGCCACTGAATCTAGATGGAGTTCCTGACTGACGGACATTTGCTTTATGAATCAGGAGTTTAGGAGCTTCTCCAGGTTTCTGTAAGTACCAGGCTAGAGGCTGAACACCCCAACCCTGATAGACTTCAGGACTGGTTTTACAGGATATAGTAACTGTGTCTCTGAGATGAACAGGTTTCACTGCAGGCGTCTGAGTGACTGTCACTTCACCAACTGATTCTACATCAAGAAGAATGAATAAACATTCAGAATTACATATTTGGATAATATTTCTAACACAAATGATCAATTAGATTAGAGCAGTTTAACTTCATATTTCCTGACCTGTGAAACAGCTGGAGAACATCCAGATGAAGATGATGAAGATGAAGCTCATGGTTGCTGTTGGTTCAGATTCTCAGTGTTCAGACTCAGAGTTATAAATCCTCCTGAAGCGTGAGCTGCGATGCAAATCATCTATATGTAAATCTGTGTAAGGATTCCAACACATGATCAACACATAAATCATAACAGTGTTTAGGATATTTTTCCATGTTACGAGTCATAAACATTTATTCCTGTGTCTGAAGCTACAGGCTTTCTGATGATTCAAATGACAGAGTTGCTACACTAGTATGTCACTGTGAACTTGATTAGAGGGCAAAGGTCATTCCAGAGGTCAAAGGTCATCAGAATGTATTAAAATTGCTTTAATCATTAACAATGCACTGAGATGAATGATAGAGCCAGTAGTTTTGATAGAACACTTATGATGAGTAATATCATTATTATTATCTTGATAAACTTCGAGGGAAAGATAAAGCTACTTGTAAAAGCTCAAAAACAAATGGTGGCAGTTTTGTTTGTTCGATTTGATATCAATATACAGACTGTTTTTTTCTCTGTCTGTCACAGGACAGATCACAGTCAAATAGAGCTGATGTCAGTCATAAGTCAGTTTTGAGAACATGTGTAGTTTATTTGTGTGTGTGTGTGTGTGTGTGTCAGTAGTGTGTGTGTGTGTGTGTGTGTGTGTCAGTAGTGTTTGTGAACGTGTTTGAGCAGCTGCAGTTTCAGTTCAGTCACTGTGACTCTGACTGACGGAGGTTTTTGTACGACTCTTTATCACTGTGTGAACACCCAGTTACTGTTGATCCTGTGAACACTCATACAGTAATAATGTCCAGCATCTTCAGTCTGGACTCCACTGATGCTCAGAGTGAAATCTGTTCCATAATTTGCTCCATTGCCAGTGAATCTAGATGGTGTTCCTGACTGTCGTGATCTAATGTAATAAATGAGGAGTTTAGGAGCTTCTCCAGGTTTCTGCAGATACCAGGAGAGACAGTCGCTACAACCCGCTGAACGATCTCCAATTCCTCTGTTAGTTTGACAGTTTATAGTGACTGTTCCTCCTAGAAGAGCTTCTTCTGAGGGAGTCTGAGTCACAGAAACCTGTCCTGTAACTTCTGTCAATGACATTTCATGAGATCATAAGTATTAGAGTCAAAGTATCCAGTATAAAATATTGAACATCAAAAGCATGGACATAAATCACATCTTGAGTTATTAATAGAGTAAATGAACCTTGAACAGAAAGAATGAGAGTCCAGATACAGACGCTGATGATCATCATTCTTCTTATCGGTGGTTTACTTTCAGTCTGAATGAAGAAAAGCTGTCAGTGATGAAGTGTTAAACTCACAGCACTATAAACACTCTCACACACTGAAGATCTGATCAATATGCAAACACACTCCACATCATTTCCCTGAAGACAGTCACTCATTAACACACACAAAACACAATAACTTAATTACTGAAATTACTTAACATTATTTACAGGTCATCACTTTTACCAATAATTGGAATAGAATTGAAAAATATACAGTGAATCCAGCATTTATATGTAATGTCACTTCAGAAACTTTGCAGCGCTGGCCGTCGGTTCTCTTAGCAGGATAAAAAACTATAGTTTTATTAAATAGATTATATAATCTGTAGCCTCGAAAGCGTGACAAGACTTCACTGAGAGACTTTGAGAATAATTTTACTGTAGGAGTGAAACATCGCTGTTAATCCCCAAATTTTACACCAAATCCGTGTGTGTTCCTGCAGTTTATGAACATGAGGATCACACACACACACACGAGTCTCTGTCAGGGACTGAATAACTGAGTTTGATTGTGAGTCACACACGTGATATAAACATGTTGAGCTTTATAAATGTTTATAAAATACATTTTGGTGACATGCATATGCTGTTTTTGGTTAGTATACAGCTCCTGTTGGGTAATCTGCTCTTTATTTTTTTAATTAAATAAAAACTAAATTAAATTTAGTTATAATTGCTAATTCCTCCATATAGATATTAATATAAATGATTATCATCAGCTCTGATGTTGAGGGATGTGTTTATATGATGCTGTTAATATCTGCATTATGAGGGATTCATTTAATAAATCCATCGACTTATTAAACTGCTCAACATATATTAAGATGCTGATGATGCAGTTTAGAAAGAAGAATATATTAAATCATAAATGCAGAAAGTCAAAAATGTGGTGAAGGATTGAAGAATATCCACTGAAGAGAAAATCAAAAGTGACTGAATTTCTACATGAAGGATGTAATAGAATCAGGAGACAAATATGACTTCTGAAATATCACAATAAAAATGTTAAAAACTGATAAATCTCAACAAAATGATGTTCAAAAAGATCATATTGAGTCGTTTCTTCACTGTGTGTGTGTGTGTGTGTGTGTGTGTGTGTGTGTGTGTGTGTGTGTGTGTGTGTGTGTGTGTGTGTGTGTGTGTGTGTGTGTGTGTGTGTGTGTGTGTGTGTGTGTGTGTGTGTGTGTGTGTGTGTGTTTGAGCAGCTGCAGTTTCAGTTCAGTCACTGTGACTCTGACTGACGGAGGTTTTTGTACGACTCTTTATCACTGTGTGAACACATAACCACTGTTGATTTCGTGTCGACTCATACAGTAATAATGTCCAGCATCTTCAGTCTGGACTCCACTGATGCTCAGAGTGAAATCTGTTCCTCCTCGTGCTCCTTTCCCACTGAATCGACTTGAAATCCCACCATAGCGATCATTTACCCCAGTAATGATGAGTTTAGGAGCTTCTCCGTGTTTCTGCTGATACCAATATAAACCCCAGCTATCTATCCCAGGATTAGTTTTACACTCTATAGTGGCTTCTTGTCCTTCAGAAACAGTCACAACTTCAGGCTGAGTCACAGTGATTCCTCTGGATGCTGTCGACAACAACATTATATGAGTTTCATCAAATGAAATGAACATTAAAGACTCAGAAATGACGAGCTTTGACTTCTGTTACCTGGAATAAAAGCTGTCAGAATCCAGATGAAGCCGCTGAAGAGATTCATGGTGTGTGTTGGGTTTGTACCGTGGTAAACAGCCGTGTGTTATAAAGTGTGTGAGTCTGAAGGCTATAAACACTCGGAGAGCTGAAACACGTGCCGATGCAAAGTGACTCTCTGAGCAAAAACCAGCTGGAGGAAAACACACATGAACATGAACATGCAGACGAAACTGATCCAGTTTATGCCTTTAATGTGTTTTATTCTCATGATCAATGAGTGTGTTTTCACTTCTTTACAAGTTTAGAAATCATTTCTTCTTTATTCTGCATGAGTCTCTGGTTCAGAGTTCAGACTTTCTGATGAATCGAGTGACAGAGTTTCATCACTAAAAGAAACAAGTATTTCACTGTGAACTCCATGAGAGGTCAAAGGTCATTCCAGAGGTCACAGGTCATCAAAACTTATTCAAATGCTTTGAGAAACACACGATCATTTAGAAACTCTCAGTTAATGTGTGTAATGATCAGAGTCTTTCTGATTATATTATTTATTTAGATTTAATAGTTTCCATGCATTAAGAGACATTTAGAGACGATGAGGCTGTTTCTGTGAACGTCACTTCAGTTCAATAATCATGATGTTGAGTCTCATATCAGTGTGTGTGTGTGTGTGTGTGTGTGTGTGTTGTTCGTCTCTTTCTCTGCTGGTGTGTGTGTTCATTTGAGTGTGACGGAGGTTTTTGTACGACGCTTTCACTAGAATGAAACACTGTGGAGGACTTTCGGTGGAGGAACTAAACTGACGATCAGAACCTGTGAGTCTTTCTTAAATTATTTAATAAAAATAAATGTGTGTGTGTGTTTAGAAGGAGATTTAAGGATATTTAACAGCATTTGGCAACAACATTCCTAATTTATTTAAAAAATATATAATTGAAAAGCTCAGCTTACATTTCAAATCTTATTTATTGTCACATTTGTTTCTATTTTGCTGATTGATTGATTGCATACATTTTATTATTAAATTTTGTCTGCTATATTATGAATATATCATATTTGGTGATATTCCATGTTTTTTACATTCCAATCCATAGTTCACATTCATAAAGTTTTACATTAGTAATTTCACACATAATGTGTTCTAACATTTCATTTTATTTTAATTAATTGCAATATTTTAAATAAATCCTTAATAAATTTCATTTGAACCAAAGGCTGGAAATATAGACAAAATAAATGTCATCATTGTCGTCATCTTCAGGCAAAAAGAAATTTAGTAGTTAAACTTGTTCAAATTAATTATTTAAACTAAGTTTAATTATGTTTCTGTTTACAAGGAAGTGTCCTGAATGGTATGTTGAAATGATAATTTCCAAAATCTTATACAATATCACAATAAAATGATCAAATTGCACTTGGACTGTGAAGTTCTTTAAAAATCAGTTAAACATTTGAGTTAATGCAGAATGAAACAAATATCATATTTTTGAAAGTATATCATCATTGCTTCAGAGAACTGATTTATATTTATATATGTATCTTAAACTTGACACACTATAAAAAATGAGTAACTTTTACGGTAAGAAAAAGGCAGCTTTGTTCGCCAGACCTGTTCTTTTCACTTCAAAAACTGTAAATTTAACAGTATTTTACAGTAATATACCATGAAATTTTCAGTTAAACATATTACAACTTAAATGTATACAGTAAAGGAACAAACATTTATCAATTAAGATTTTTTCTGTAGCATTTTTTGTCTTTCATTTTTAAAATTACGATATATTTTTACAGTGTAGGCTACATTCAGTAATAGTCAATATTGATTTAATGGAGAATTTTTTAAAAACTAAACTCAGAAACATTAAATGTTCTGTAAAATTATAATTATTTTTCTAAATCTATTTTTCAATTATTTTGTATATTTTTTTTATTTTTATTTTAAAAAGTTTAAAATTTAACTGCTAATACTTTTTAAAATCTATGACACAAAATTTTTATTAGACGGATAAAATAATTCTATTTTTTAGGCGTCGCCATCAGACAAATAGAAAGATTTGAAAAATTCATCATTTGAACTGATATTTGCTGATCATTATGATTGTGAGAGTCTTAAGAAGAAAATACAATTAATAATGAAATGATTATTCATAAAATATCAAATTACATAAGATTCTCTGTATATCATGTCTGCTTTACAAAACTGATTTATATTTAGAATTACATAATACATTTTTGCGTATTAGTGAATATTGATTTAACGGAGAATATTTTTAAACTGAATTCAGGATATTTGTGGTTTATGAATTAAAGCAGTTATGTGGAATTTCTGTAAAGATGAAATGATTGTGATTTTTACTACATGACCGAGTCTGACATCTAACTAACTCTGTGTTTGTGTTTGTGTTTGTGTTTGTGTGTGTGTGTGTGTGTGTGTGTGTGTGTGTGTGTGTGTGTGTGTGTGTGTGTGTGTGTGTGTGTGTTCCAGCCGGGCCCTCCGTGTCTCCCTCCGTGTCTCTGCTGGTCTCTGGAGACTCCTCCGCTCTGCTCTGCCTGCTCAGCTCTTACTCTCCACAGGGGGCGACGGTGAGCTGGACGCTGGACGGGTCAGAGGTCACCGAGGGGGTTCAGACCAGCGCAGAGAGCGAGCGGGGCGGTCTCTACAGTCGCAGCAGCGTCCTGAGCCTCAGCAAAGCACGCTGGGAAGGCAGAGAGCGCTTGGTCTGCAGAGGAACACATGCCGGAGCTGCTCACGAGGCCTCGTTCCTCAAGAGCTCCGAGTGCTGATGTTTCTCCAGTGAAGACCAGCGGATCTGAGCGGCACGTGATTTACAGCTCAATACTGAAGCAGTCTGTCAATGTGCTGCCATTGCTGTTCATTCAATAAAGCTTCATCTGAACGCAAGCTTACATGTGTGTGTGACTGCATCATTGATCAGTGTGTCGTTCCTTCAAAGTCCTGCACTAAAATTTCAGCTGCTTTTGATTGATTGTAATAGTTGAGAACAGCTGCATTCAGCAGTAAATGTCAAATGAAGCTCTTGGGGTTTGAACATGGTCACTGGAGACGAGCTGCTCTATTCTGAGACCGTCACAATCACTAAACCTGACAATGCAAATGAGATTTTCACCTCAAACTTACAGTTTCAGTCTTTTTCTGGTTCAACGCTCTGAACTGGAACAGTTTCACTTCTGCTGATGGAGGGATGAATTATGAATAATAAATTCATTATAAGCTGATGAATGAAGGAACTACTTGAAAAAGGCTCAAGAACATATTTATGTAGCTGGTGTTACACAATTACTTGTAGTTTAATGTACAAAAACAAAACAAAATAATGCGCCACTGTTGTTCGTTTGATTTATATCAGTTTACACACTCAGTTTTCTCTGATTCTGAGAATATTAGAGTCACAATCGTCTGTCACAGATCAGATCAGTCTAATAGAGTTGGCGGTGCGCTCAAAGTCATCTGTCAGTTGTGCAGTTACCCAAAATCTCCTGAATGAAGGTAAAACCCATCATGTCACTGATATGTGTTTTACTAAATATTAATATATCAAAAACTGTACATGATATGTGTTTTTTAAATCAAGTGATCAAAGTGCTCGTTGCCGCTGCGATCAGTGGCACGGATACAGTGTTTTCTCGCGTGGCTCGCGCGCACCGCACTGTCTTCACTCGGACGCGCGCTTCACTCCGTTGCGGATATCGTCGTGGATATTGTAGTATTGTATTGCTCAATCCCCTGACCACTATGTCGGTCTGTATGGCAAGCCGTTTTAGCTTAAATTGTACCCAGCCTTACTTGTTGTAATTTCATTTTTACTAGTAAAAATTTAATTAGAGAACTTTACAATTCAATTCGTACTAGTAGCAATTACAATTAGAGAGCTCTCTAATTCAATTCTTACTAGTAACAATTGCGATTAGAGAGCTCTCTAATTCGATTCTTACTAGTAAGAATGTAATTGCAGAGCTCTTTAATTGAATTAAAGAGCTCTGCAATTGCATTCTTACTAGTAACAATTAAATTAGAGATCTCTCTAAATCAGTTTTTACTAGTAAGAATTACATTAGGAGAGCTCTTTAATGCAATTATTACTAGTAAAAACTGATTTAGAGAGCTCTCTAATTCAGTTCTTACTAGTAAGAATGCAATTGCAGAGCTCTTTAATTCAATTAGAGAGCTCTTTAATGCAATTCTTACTAGTAGGAATTCAATTAGAGAGCTCTACAATTCAATTCTTACTAGTAGCAATTACAATTAGAGAGCTCTCTAATTCAGTTATTACTAGTAACAATTACAATTGCAGAGCTCTCTAATTCAATTCTTACTAGTAACAATTCCAATTAGAGAGCTCTACAAATGAATTCTTACTAGTCATATGTCTCCATTGACTTCCATTCATTTTTAATTACAGAGCTCTCTAATGCAATTGTTACTAGTAAGAACTACAATTAGAGAGCTCTCTAATTCAATTCTTACTAGTAACAACTCAATTGCAGAGCTCTTTAATTCAATTAGAGAGCTCTCTATTTCAATTGTTACTAGTAAGAATGCAATTGTAGAGCTCTCTAATTGAATTATTACTAGTAAGAATTCCAATTAGAGAGCTCTCTAATCCAATTATTACTAGTAACAATTATAATTAGAGAGTTCTTTAATTCAGTTGTTACTAGTAAGAATGCAATTGCAGAGCTCTCTAATTCAATTACAGAGCTCTCCAATTATACATATCTTTAATTCGTTTTTTTACTAGTAAAATTTCAATTAGAGAGCTCTGTAATTGCATTCTTAC